AATTGTTATCCATTTTAAGGGTAAACAAAAATAATAGCGGAAAAAATATATATTTGTTGTATATATATATTCTGTATGTTATATACAAAAATTATATATATTTTATACATTTTTTCGGTTACCAAATATAAATAGTATATGACGCAGGCTAAAAGTGAAAAATACTCAAAAGAGTCATTAGGTCTGAAATTTCTCAATACTTTTTAACTATTTAGTCCTCAACTACTATACAAATAGCCAGTACTAAGTTGATCCTATTATTAGATACTTTTTACTATGAATTTCTTGGACATAGTATACCTACTGATATGTCATCGAATCCGGGGAATAACAAGGAGAGATTCTAACCTGAAAATAATGTAAGATAATCAATTGCTAAAAGTTGAAAGGTTAAGAAAATAAAAAGACTCATAAACCATACTAAAGTAAATACGCCTCTCAAACATACTACCCTTATGGAAATAAGAGTGTTGGTTGTCTTCATTAATTTACTACATTTTAACTGTACTGCAAGAATGAATGTGACTTTGATATCAGTAGCAAATCCTGTACATAAGGTCAAGAAGTCCGATAGGATTCAAGATCATCTACTCGAGTCTAACGCGGAACTTTTGTATATTAATGTAAAAATCAAGTATAAATACGATTAAATAAATATAAAAATTCAAAACCCACATTTCAATTTAAAGTATAATATAAGAGTATTATCAATTTTAACCCACGTCAGAAACTATTTACAATCGATAGCCGAAAAAGAATATAAAATTTGTACTCTGTATAACATGCAGAATATATATATATATATATATATATATATATATATATATATTCGACTATTATTTTGAAAGTGACTTATACAGTATCATTTTCCATATAATATATGTAAATTCTGAATTCGTTAATGTTTCTAGAGCCATTGTACAGTTGTAGACTTGTAGAAGTCAAGTAAGTCAAAGATATGTTTTGGGCAATGTGGGCTCCGGACCTGCGACTGAAACCCACCCATAAAGTAACATGTTAGTTGGTCTACAATTCAGATTCATTTAATTGGCGTTTGCTTTTGCGGCCATTTAATTTCCTCACTGACTCTTATTATTTGTATCTAGAAAAAAATATTATTTTGACTAATTTACCTTAATTAAAGTTTTCATATTATTAACTTCACACATTGAGATATGTAAATAAAGGCAAAATTGAAAAACTAAAGTTAATTCATTTGATTATGTTAAAAGGACACTTATTTTGGACCAAAATAAAAAGACCAAAAAGTCAGTCAAAATAGCACGTGCTATCCAGTTTTCGGACTAGAAATTGAAAAATAGTCATCGTTTGCAAAGTCATTGAAAAATAGCCACTATTTTGGTGCAACACGTAAAGTTCCAACATTATATACTGGAGATTGGTGCGCATGTGTATAAACTTCCAGCATATTATGCTGGAACTCCATCACACTAAAAGTTCCAGCATAGTATACTGGAGATTGGAGCACCTGTGTATGGACTTCCAGCATATTATGTTGGACCAGTATATTATGCTGGAACTCCAGTATATTATGGTCGAAGTTCATATATAAAAAATTCGAACTCCAGTATATTATGCTGGAATATTTTTCGGCCTTTGAACAATGTTTTCGTTCAGATTTATCTTTACATGAAAAGTAGCTAAATTTCGATTACTTTTGAAACTGTGACTATTTTTCAATTACCACTTATAAATCTGGTTATTTTTGAATTTCCCCCAAAAAGTCACTTATTATGGACCGGAAGGAGTACAATAACTAAAATATCACAATATATTACAATGTGAGAAAAATTAAAAGAAAAAAAATTCTCATATTGTCTTGGGTGAAATTAAAGACAATATAGTTTAGGGGATAAAAGTGACTACGACAACACAATTAAGGGGATAAAAGTGACTACGACAACATAATTAAGGGAATAAAAAGTCACAATTATGTCGTATTACTCAATACTGGTTATGTAGTTAATGGAATAAGGACGTTGCAATTATGTTCTTAATTTCTTATGCTCGACGACGATAATATACCATTAAAGGGAACGTCACGATCATACCATGTGCATTTGATTAATGTAACATCTATGTAGAATTTTCGATAACCTTTTTTGTGGTCACACCCATAAATTAACGAACAGTTGTCACATTACCCTTTACGCCTTGTTCACAAAAAAAAGTAGCTTTCATTAAGGGAAAAAATATCTAAGCTCCTACATCTGTATTATGAAAAAAGAATTCGGGCGAAGCGCATCGATAGCCACTTTTAAGCACGCTAGTTAAAATATATTCAAAATTTATAATGTATTTAAAGATTAACCAATTTATCCAAATTTCAGAACTAAGTATTCTGAATTTCTGAACTACTAATTTAAAATTAAGGACATAAGATTCGAACTTGTGGAGATAATTTTCGAACTTTTGAATACGATGTCCTGAAGTTTGAATTTTGAGGTTTAAACTCTAGGACGTCGTGTACTTAAATTCGAGCGAAATTGACTAATATTTAAATATATTGTAAAATGTGGATATATTTTAAACAACATGCTTAAAAGTGGCTACCTGGTGTCATTTCCACTAGAATTGGAGCACTTGGGCTCGGATGTCTGTAGGCCCAATTATATCACTTGATGGCCCATACTAGGCCCACCATTTTTCAAACCAAACGATGGCCCATACTAGGCCCACCATTGTAACAATGTTTAGAACATGTATCAGCTACTTTACTCTCCAATATTTTTGGCAAATAAGGATCATTCGCCTTGCCTTCGTTGGACATCGAATTTTGGTTCCCAAAACTATCATTCTTTTTTTTTTTTTTTAATTTTTTTCTTAAATTTGTATGTTACCGTCCAATGACAAGAGAATTTTTTTATCACATTATTTTTGAATCGGTTTATTTCTGTGCATATAGTGCAAAATTTTCTTTTACACATTTAAATGAAATGGATCAATAACAATAGATAACTCTTTGTATTATCCGATATAATAATATAAAAATAAAGTAAAATAAATCGCTATAACTAGCTAAATTAAATTGATAGCATAAACTTCTTTTTACTGGCAATGTATATAATTTTAAAATCTTTTTTGTTGAATTAGGTAGTGTTGCAAATTGGGTGTGATGGAACAACATACCCATCAAAACATGTGCAATAAATGCCCTGAGGTCCTATTGTTGGCAAAAAGAAGTTTGGTCCAATTTTGCCTTGCCATTTTTCGTTTTGACATAATAAAAAAGGTTTCATTATATTCAGAAGGAAAGTATAAATAACTGATTTATCGCTCATTTCCACCGATTCTTTTGTTGAGCTTTTATCATTAAAATCACGGGCTAGCCACTTTTCGGATTAGTAATTGAAAAATAGTCATATTTGCAAAATCATTGAAAAATAGTTACTATGTTGCTGCATCATGGAAAGTTCCAGCATAATATACTGGAGATTGGAGCACCTGTGTATGAACTCAGCATAATATACTGGAGATTGGAGCACCTGTGTATGAACTTCCAGCATATTATGTTGGAACTCCAGCACATTATAAATATCTAGATGTTATGCTGGAAGTTCACATGTAAAAAATTTGAATTCCAGCATATTATGCTAGAATATTTTCGAATTTTGAACAATGTTTTTGTTCAGATTTATCTTTACATGAAATTCGGCTAAATTTCCATTACTTTTTTAAATTGTGGCTATTTTTCAATTACCACTTATAAATCTGACTATTTTTGAATTTCACCCGCTTTTTAAATTGTCCTCATTGACTCATTGTATATCTTTTGCTTTCTCTTTTCTCAAGTTTAGGGAGCTAAACTAGAAGAAGACTAAAGAGATGCATTGGGACACTTAAAAGAGTTGCGCCTATGAATCACGAGATTTCTCCATCTCTTCTATGGTTGGAAAAAATAAGAATCACTTCTTGAATGAGCTCTGAAAATAAGTCAGAGTATGGGGATGACACGTGCTAGTGATTACATTGGCTGCCCAGAATTTTTTAAAAAAAATAGAGAAAAGGGAAAAAAAGAAAAGAAAAGAATATACTTTACTAAAAATAATGGCGTAAATATTCTGTTCAAGCCTTGATGTACAGAGTTACTCGACGGGACTATCGGGTACCCGTGGAATTGACGCACGCAAACTGACATGGAAATCATAGTTATAAAAAAAGTTATGGCATAAACATATTTACAAAATCAGGTTATTTATTAGGTAATCACAAGTAATTTTTCTACGATAAGCACGGTGCTATCAACTATACTAATAGACTAAAAATTACTACACTATCACTTTATATAATTAAAATCCAATTTATAAGGAAGAAAATAAAAGAGATTTCATAAACTAGTCAAACTGTGCTATTTGTACGAGAGCGAAACCGAAATGTTATCTTTTTGAACTCAAAATACTTTTTTTAGGTGTAAAAAAAAAAAGTTACAATTCTATATAAAACGCGGTCCATTACCGCGTTTTATATAAAATGCTGTAACAGACCGCGTTTTATATAGTAGCTGATAAGACTGCTATATAAATGCGGCAATGGACCACGTTTTATATACATAAATAATACTTAGAACCCTTCCCTTTCCCCCACGTTTCTGCCCAGATTCCCTTCCCCCTTCGTTTTTAAAAATACAGCGGTCTCCCCTCCTCCCCCCCCCCCCCTCCATTAACGTCCAAAAAAGCTCGTGTGGACCCCACCCGCCCCGTAAAAAGTAGATATTGTTGATCCCACATCCTAGCCAAACCTTCTATTGTTTTGGGTTGCTTGTTTCGAAGTCAAATTTTCAAATCTTCAACTTTTCGAAAAACATAATTCGAGATATTTCGATTTAGTTTATGTCCAAACTCGTATAAATAATGCATATTAGCAAAGGCGGATCCAGGATTTAAGCATAACTGGGACACCATTGTCTTTAGTATGCCAATCACCAGCGATAAAGTTCGAGTGCAACTCTTTGAAATGACTATGATAATTTATCATCAAAATAAAAACATCAATATTATCAAATACCATTAACTTGATACTAATATAACAAAAGTACATTGTCCACTCATAGTTGAACTCGACGCGCTTTCGTGTTTTGAAAACGGTCAATAATAGCATCATTGCTTATATTTACAAATACTTCCTTCTCAAAGTAACAAACTAAACAATCATTTAAAAATACATCACTAATACTACTACGCAATTCATCTTTGATGTATTTCATGGATGAGAATGCTCTTTCCACCATTGCAGTTGCGACAGGTAAAATTAAAGTCAACTTCACAAGCAAATAAACAAGTGAATAAGTCTCCACAAGATTTGCCTCAACCAATGCTTTTGCCAAACCACCAATTCCTTTCAAATCAGAGAATCTAGGGTCACCATGTTGCATGTGCCATATGAAAGTGTCAAGTTGGCGACTAAGATCTTGAAACTTCAATTCACCAAACTCATCGGGATAATGCTTGGTCAATGTTATTATTCTTTCCTTATCAAAATTAGCAAATGAGTTAGCCGGATTCAAGCTAGCCATACCAAGAAGCATGTTACTACTCACAACATCAAAACGACTATTAAGCTCCAGAAGTTGCAAATCAATCACGGCATAAAAAAGCTCAACACGTAAGTGATGTGAATAAGTAACACTAGAAGGCCTACGCTTCAACTTTCCAGGAATATAGAATTCTTCCATCTTAGGCACCAAAATATCCTGTTTTGCACAAAATAAATATACTTCATCCATCAATGGTTCCCATCCTTTATCTCTCATTTCTTGCAACCTTTCCTTTGTGATATCAAGAAATACCATGGCATTGACAATATCTTGATCTTTCTTCTGTAAAGCTTTGCTCAACTCGTTTGACATTATCAACACTTTCAACATTAAGTGAAGCAAGAAAACAAATTCAAATGCTTTAATTTTACTCAAAAAAGCTTCGGCTTGCAACCTATTATTAACATCACCTTCACATCAATCACCCCAAGCACATAAACAATAGAAGAAAATAAAAATAACAAAGTTATTCAATGTTTTACAATGTGATCCCCAACGAGTGTCACCTGGCCTTTGAAGCCCTCGCTCTTGATTTAATCCTTTCCCACTTTGAACTTCACCACTCTCTAACAATTGCTCCAACAATTCTGCTTGATGATCCCGAAGTTGATCTCTACGCTTAAAAGAAACTCCAATTACATTCAACACGTTAGTAACAATAGCAAAGAAAGTCTCTACCTCCTTGTGTTTTTTTAGCAACAGCTACAAGCGTCAGCTACAAGTTCCATCTAAAGAGCAACTTCAAATTTTAGTGCAGCTGATTGGGAAACATGATGTATTAATATTGTTATTATTCCTTTCTTAAGTTGTATTAGATGTATCAACATGAGATCGAGCAAATAGGAGCAGGGAATAAATGGACTGGTATCTTTGGTCCTATTCTATATTCCAGCATATACTACTGCAGACACTTAGATAGGGAGTCATTTTTTTACACTTGGACATATTATGGACTATAAGATGTGTTAAAATACTAGGTGTAGTGTTGCTATTCATTGTGTTACAGACTTACAGTTATATAACAATAACAAATAACAGAGGAAGAAACGAAAGGAAGCAACTTTATTCCATGTGCATACTTGGGCATCAGTGATTCTTAGGATTTAGAATATAAGGTGTTCCAGCCAAGTACAAATCATTCTTCCTCTCAGCTGTTGCCCTAAAAGTCTCAGTCATGTCAAGTCCAATTCCATCAGGGAGTTTCCAGTCAAAATGAAATAGCAGCTAGCAAAAATTATTTCTAATAGGGGAATCACACCCCTTCCATCAAGATTAAAGCAAAAAATATATTTCTAATAGGGGAATCACACCTATTCTATCACAAACAAAAGCAAAAATAATATTTCTAATAGGGGAATCATACCCCCTTATTAAAGATAGAAGGATCACCTACCAATTTCTGAAAGTTATTCTTGAAATCCAAATACAACTTGGTTTCAAATCGTCCACTTCACTTCATTGAAACAATATTTCAAATAGCATTAGCACAAATCTTCAAATACCTATGAAATTAATTTATTAAGATAAAATAATTAGGGATATTTTGATTGGGGAAGAACGTAAGTCAATAAATCGCCCATAAGTCATAATCAATCTGGGTCAATTGCTAATCTAGGTCAAAATTACAAAAATCAAAAAAGTAATATTGTAAAAAGAAGAAAAACTTACTCAAATAATCAAAGATTTGAAGAAGAGTCTCCCTCACCTAATAAGGGATTGATTCGAATTCAAAGGGATGCAAAGGAATGAAGAAGTGAATGACGGAAAGTCGGAAATTGAAGGGAGGCACCGAGGCAGAGAGGGTTTGTTTTAGAGTTTAAGACTTTCAGATGGATACTAAGTAATAAATTAAATAAGTAATTAAATAATCATTCAATTTTAAAAAATAAAAAAAAATAATATGGATTGTAGGACCCCAAATTCGAACTTGGGTCGTCAAGTAAAGAAGGAAGCTACTCCCACAAACCAACTCTTCTGTCCAGTCTTTGTGACTGAGGGTGCCGCATAAAATATTTAGAAGGGTCCTCCCGTATTAACATATATATATATATATATATAGAATATATATACAATATTTTTACCGAGGCCAACGGGTGCCGGTGGCTCCCCACCCCCTAGCGTAGGTCTGCCCCTGCATATTAGTTGTTTTGAATGTGTTGTATGTTATTTTGTGTGTTTTTTTTTGTGATTAAATTGGTATATTATTTTTATCCAGACTAAGATATTAACATTGTAAAAAAGAATATAAAAATTGTGAAATCGTTATTATTTGTTAATAAAAATGTTAATAAATTAGTATTAATGTTTTATATGTATTTTTGTGATTACAATTATCTGTTGTGTTTTATCTGCTTTAAATTATTTTTTTGCTTAAAGACTAGTAAATCGGAATGCCTTTTAGGGTAGTAAAATGTAATGCATTTTAGCGTAGTAAAATATAGTGCCTTTTAGCGTAGTATAATGTAGTGCCTTTTGGCATAGTAAAATGCAGCGCTTTTTAGCGTAGTTTCCCTGTAATTTAAGTATCTCTTATACTCAAAAATACGTCAAAATAACTGATAGATCAAACACAAACTCTGTCCAATTATAGTCAACATATAATTGGTCTACCGAGCCGCAAATATTGAGCCTGGAACCCATATATGAATATTTAATAATTAAATATTATATAATTATAAAAATTAATTATTTAATTTACAAACAAACATATAAAATTATAAAACTAACATGTAAAATAATAAAACTAACACATAGAAGAATTCAGGATAAATCGGTACTACTGGGCTCTAAATCGAGCCTGGAACCCATATGTGAATATATATTTATAAAAATTAATTATTTAATTTACAAACTAACATATAAAATTATAATAAACTAACACATACAAGAATTCAGGATATCTTGGTGGTACTGGGCCTTCAGGTGCCTCACACAGTAACGGTGGTATGCATAGGGTTCCTGCCATTCAGGCAAATGCCCTACAGAACTTAATATACCACCATGCCGATCAGATATTAGACAAATACCTGAACTTTGTTTGACAACGTGCTGCTTCAAGTAGTTCAAAAAAAGCGTCCACGTCTCTTGGCTTTCATTGGCACAGATGGCAAAAGCTAGTGGAATATTTGTCCATTAGCATCTACTGCAACGGCGATCAACAGCTTAATATCATACTTTCCATAGACATGAGTACCGTCTATGAAAATTACCGGACGGCAATGCACCAAACCATCAATTGCTGGTTTAAATGCCCAGAACACGTATCTGAATATATATTCCGGTATTCCTGGACCCCGCTCATGCTTCCATTCAACAACAGTCCCGAGGTTAAAGTGTTTCAGTGCGGCCATGTACCTAGGTAGAGATGAAAATGACTTATCCCAATCACCATAAATAATTTCAAATGCACGTTTGCGCCCGAGATATGCCTTTGGTAATAGTACACCCATATTCCTGGTGGACGGAAGTAATACACTCTTTGATCTTGTACCTAATGGACACTTCCAAGTATGAAATCAAGACAAGAGAAATCAAGTCAACATCCAAGTTGAAGTGATTCTCATTGAATATGTCCATTTCACAAACGTGGGTGCTAATATATTTACCCACTTTCCACAACCCTGTTTCCTTCTAGCTCGCACGCACCATCCTGTGACAACCCGTAAACCATCTACAACGTACGACCTTGTATACCTCCGGAGTTGACTCCCATACTGTCATCTCACGATATTCTCTTACGCTGTACATTTTACAAGCCCTGGATAGGCGAGCTTTATCGGGAAAATACATGCCCTTTGCCAGCACCGTTGGTCTAGACTCATCCCACATTGCTGACCGAATTTCGTCAAGATCCCTTGTGAGGGCATCCACATCCGGCATACTTGGAAAATTATCAAGGTAGGAAATATGCCTTGAATGAAATACCACGTGGGACTCGTACACTCTTCGTCTAATGGGAGGTGGAGGAGCATGCTCCCTCGTCAGCTCAGGTTCGACATTCACTTCCTCCTCCTCATCACCCTCGTCAAGGAAGGGTGTGTCATCTCCAGACTCATCGGCATTCTTGTTATAATCACTATTATCTTCCTAACTCTGCGCATCTGCCAAATCACGAGTAAATACGTCGTCTACGGGAAACTGAGTGAGGTCAGGACCATCAAATTGCTCGCTTTCACTGCACAAACAACAAAATGATAAGCTACTCAAATTGATAAATACTTTACATATAGCTATATCACTTCACTTACAAGTCGTAATGTGTTGACATTCCATGATGGACATTTTCCTGTTGGTGATGACTCCCGGATGGACCACCGTGATCCAACACGCCAAAACTACGCATATTCTAACTGGCGTGGGGTCATAACTTGTAAAATTCATATCCGGACGGTACCCTTGTGGAATATATGAGTGCTAATACAAATTTAATTCAACAAAAAATAAACATCGTAACACAAAGGAAAATTGAAGTTTACCAGTCGTCTTGTGGATTATGTAATAAAGTAGGAGAGAAATTATTTCCTCGCTCCTCGTTCGCCCGCGGAGATAAGTTTAGATCCAGCCAAACTCTTTCAGCCGGAACCTGTTAGGCTAAAACTGCTCCAGAATAACCACCGGATGATTGAGGGTTATCCCTGCTTTGCGCAACATCATTATTGCAAACGTCTTCAACCTTCACGTACATTTCCAACTTTTTTATCAAAATAAGTTCCCGGTATTCATCCGGAGTCCCCAAAAATCTCTCAGAGTTTCATCATCTTCGATGTTAAACTCAGCGTAACAAGCAACTCCTTGCAGAGTCACAGAATACGGATATCTTCCGATTATTTTAAGATTCATCGAACGTTTGCTCAACCTCATTTTATTGCATAACGACGATACCAGTCTATCGTTCTCCATTTGTAAGAGGCAACATGACTCTGTGGAGATAAACTATAGCTTACTGAATTATTCGCCACCACAACCTCAACCCCCCCCCCCCCCCAAAATATAATGAAACCCTTACATTTCGCTCTTCAGACATTATTAAAAAAGCTTGAGAATTTAACAACAAGAAAAACTTATCGCGAAGTTGGAGTATTTCTAAATGATTTTTCTCAAAACCCTTAACGCCTTTATATAAGGCAATGCCCAATCCGAGGGGGTCAAATTTTTGGAAGTAACGCGGTTTAAAAGGGCGTTTTACATATTTGAATTATTGTTATGTCAGTTAAGCGCAGAAGAGTTATTGGTGGGCCCACTAAACATGTAAAACGCAATTTAATACCACATATTATATAAAACGCGGTACCGAACCGCGCTTTATATAGCAGTCTTTTCAGCTACTATGTAAAACGCAGTTTGCTAAAGCGTTTTATATAAAACGCGGTTATAAACCGCGCCTTACCTTAACGTCCCAAACGGCCGTTAAGATAAAACGCGGTTCATAACCGCGTTTTATATAGAATGGTAACTTTTTTTTTTTTAAACTGAAAAAAGTGTTTTGAGTCCAAAAGAATCACATTTCCATTCCGGACTCTGTTTCACGTCCATAATCACAGTCAAAGCATAAGATGCAACACAATTCTAGAAGTAAAACATTACAAAAATGCAAATATTTGCAATATAAACAATGATTGCAGCATTGTTGGCAAACTCAATAATACAGGAGATGATGTTTATATAATTTGAGACAGGGAAACAAAAATAAGTGGAAAAGCCTTATCACACTCTACCTGTCAATTCAACGATGGATTCATGCACAAGCTCTTCTAGCAACTTCCTTTCAATTTCCATTCCTACATTATCTAATTCTAATCTCAAATATTGAAGCCACCCCCTCCCCACTACCTCCTTCCTCACCATTCCATCCACCACCAGGCTGTTTCCGTCCCCACCATCATCGGAGAGACATTTCATCTCGCTCGAAAACCATTCCTTCATTCGGGTCCACACCTGGTCTACCAATATCAATTTAGCTCCTTCTGGCACATTATTACTGACCCCACTATAAGGTATGGCTCTTTGGCAAGTGTCTGGCCCATATCCTGCAATTTCCATCAGTGCTGCATTTACACAATCAAATACAAGTTTTGGGATTGATCTCTTTTGTCTTCTCCTGGCCTCGTGTAGTACATCCTTCTCGCTCAGATCAACATATTTTTCTCTTAGTGATGGATCCAAAGGGCCTTCAGGCGAATGCCACATTAACAAGAATGCATCAGATTGCACTTCATTAAGGCCAGCCACCGTTAATAATGTTTGAACAAAAGAGAACCATTCTTTTTCTTCTTCCTCTGTACGCTGAATGGATGTGGACGGTCTTAAACAAACTGAACTGGCTGTATCTACACAGGAATCATTCCATGACAGAGTACGAGCAATTGATCCTATTGGAGGAGATTTGTCAATCAGATTGCACCTTATAGGGTCAACAGACAACTCACCACCTGTTAAATTTGATAAATGCATAGGGTAAAAGTATAAGTTGTACATATATCAAAAGAAAAAGGAAACCAGAGATCTAGGTGTGATTGGTGACACGATTTTACCATGATGATCTGGCTTAGTCCTGCCAAAGGATATATGTGTTGGATGTTCATCCTCTTCAAATGTTGTCTCCAAAACAGATATAGGACTTGGTTGGTCCTGGCTCTCACACTGGTTTCCCGAGGGCAAAGATTTTGATACAAATAGCCCAACCTGCTAAAAGTAGTTAAATCATAAATGAGCTTTGGATTTCCTCAAAAGTAGTCAATTTGGCAAAGTCATATCAGCCCTATTTCAGTTGGCGTGACAAACTGTTCCCACACATTGACAAAACCTCTTTAAAAGGAACAATAGAAGATATAATAAGCTATACAAGAAACTGAAAGGACACAAATCACAAGGTGAGAGAACTCCTGTTGCTAATATTCTAGAACACACAGATGATAAACATCAAACTGAAAGAAAGAAAAAGTGGAAACGAACAAATTTTTGTTTTGATAACCATCAAATGAAATGAATGAGAGAAAAAAATGGAGCTTAACTGATTTCCCATAATTTGACCCATAAAACCACACTAACTAATAATCAGGAAAGTGCTTTTTCAAGGAGATAAGTAAGTACATTACCTCAGGAGAGATTATGCCTCGCTCGCCAAACAAATTCTGGGAAACTAGTTTGCCTGGTGATTTATCAAGGTCAGCTGATGAGCACTCAAGCCCTGGAACATTAAGGTATTCAATTTTATCTTTGTCAACTTTTGCAGAACAATGTGAAGACTTGTCACCAGACTGCATTTCATCGCTGGATTGCAAATGGTTCACGCCGTCTTTGCTTGGTTTTTTGTTCCTTGAGAACAATAGATTTTTCAGTGACAGTTTTGTGCTTCTTGGCTTTGTTGTGTCTTTGGGAAGGTTGTTTTTTCCTGTATCAGGACCTCGAACATCCACATGCAACTGCGTACCAAATGCAGTAGAAGATACAGGAACAGATTTAGACCTTGAGAGGTTTCTAGGTGACTGATCCAAACCTTCATCACAGTTGGAATTACTCATCGAGTTGGAATTTGAAGTTCTGGGTTCTTCTTTGCTACTTTCCTGCTCTATTCCTCCGGCCTTCTTCGTGTCAGAAAGAGCAAGCATCTCACCTAATGTACTGGAGTTTCTGCGCAGATGTCTTTGGTCTTGACAACTTCCATTAGATGCCACCATTGCCCATCTCTCTGAAAGTCGCTTCTTGGCTTCTTTAGAAACTGAAGATTCTGGGGAATAAGATGCACGGCTCACGGAAGAGCAAGAATAAGGGCCGCCAAATCTATTAATGTAATCCCAAGAGTGCCTAGAAACTGGTGATATGACTTCTGAATCACTGTGATTTCCTGCTACATACTCATTTTCAGACTTGTTAAATGAACTCTCGTCACCAATGTAGCCATTGGAAGACACGGAAGAAAGCAAGGTTTCATCCCTTCTATGTCCACCAAGGTTTTCTCGCATCTTCTGTGTAATGCCTATTGCCACTTCTCCTGAGTCCTCAGCTTCATTATCCTCTATGTTCACAAAGTTCATTTCAGTTTCTGATGCTCTTGGTGATGCTGAAGGTGGAGAACTTGCAGTCCGGCAGTTGTGGGTCTTGCTAGGGCTTGGTTTCAACACCACTATCCTTGTCGGTTGAGCAGGATTTTCGTCAATATTCCAACCTGCTGCGGGAGGGGAACTCGCACAATGGCTTTTGTCTACCCTGTTTCCCTGACCCAGCTGGGTGGCTCTCTTCATCTCTTTTTCATTTGTGTTTCCTGATTCACCAAATCTACTAATATCCACCATCTTTGATGGTCTAAGAACAGTTATTCGCTTTGTCCCAGGAGGAGGAGGTACAGACTTCAAGTTATGTAAATGCTGCGAAAACATAGGATTGGGTTCTTGCAGAAATTTGAGGAATAGATCTGTGTTGGAACTTAAAACGTCCAATGCTTCTTGGAATTCTTTAGACTGGCGAAGTTTTCCGTCTATAGAGAGGCATTTAGCTTCAATGAACTTCTGACGAACAAAGGCTACCTTCTTGTCAATACTGGTTTCATCGTCTTTTGCCTTTTGGGGAGATTTGCTTCTCCCACAATTTATCTTCGTGGGTGGCTGCCTAACTTCATAGACATCCTTATATTCATTCTGCTCTGCATATTGATTAACATTATGCATTTCTTCCATCAAGGAACCATTTTCGTGCTGGCAATAACTGAAAGAGGAATCAGTATGACTTCGTGAATGACCTCCAAAATGACTTCGTGCAGCTGAAACAGATCTCCGCATAGGAAAAGCATCAAGGCCCATCAACTTGGCAACAACACTAGGTGGATTCTGACAAGAGTTTATTTCCTTGGACATTTCTTGGGCTATAAGCTTCTTCATTGGTGTTCCATTTGTTTTCTTGTTTGAACTGTTTCTCTTCAAATCTGAAAAAATCTGTATGCACCATATCTGAGCATTAGTATCGAACCAAAATTCAGTAATAGACCAGCTCATCTCGCTTCCTAAATTAATATCATCTAGAAATAGATTGAAGATGTACCATATTTTCCTCTATTTGATCCTCAGAAGGATACGTCCTGACAACATCTGATTGGCTCCTTGAAAGAGAACCTGCAGTAAGATGGACCAAGTCAACACGAAGATTCAGTTTCACGGTTAGAGGATGCAGAAACAATAGAAACAAATACTCGAATACCGTATGAATTCAAACTAGATCTGCCCGTTCTTGCAGGAACATTGTTTTATGGAAAATGAAAAAAGCTCCAGATAGAGGAGTCACATTTTTATATATACCATCACATCCAAAATATCTTTTTTGAACTTGATAGGCAATTTGACTAGTCTTCTGCAAACAATACTATTGATGCACTAATCCTTAGTTTGACGAATCAATTCCACAAAAATGTTCTAGTTGCCACTACTTAACAAAAAGATATTCCAAGTTAAACTACGATAGTGTTTTTATCTACAAAACAATCATTACCCCAGAGTGTCTTGTTTATGTGGTTCTCAATAAAGGATTCAAAATTCGAAGATGGAACATTAGAGAGAACAGAGAAGTATATAGCAAAGAAATTTATTATCACCATGTGGTTTATCTGTAAGCATCCTGTTTCCTGCCACCCCAGAATTCAAATCGAAAAGGTTCACCATTCGTCCCAAGCATCCTGGAAAAGGTTTATCGAGATTGCTATTTTTACCACTCTGAAACCCATTCATCTCACCACCTGAGACCACACAATTAACCATGTAAATCCAAATTGATGCGTCAATCATTGTGTCATCAAAATGTTATTTCCCAAAGAGTAGAGAATATAAACCCCCAACAATTTCAAATTTCCATATGCCAAAGAAATAGGCATGTGCCCGAGACAGCAAAATATGTGTACACAGGTATATATATCTACTCAAAAAGAGATGGAGAGAATTGACAGAACATACATCATTCATGATACAAAAAATTGCTAGAAATTAGATAAACATATTACAACCATAAAACATTGGAGCCACGAGTAGCTAGTACACGCAACAGATTAGGAGAAAACCAGAACATAAAGGACAAGCTTTCAGAATTCAGATGTCGCGCAAAAAAAACCACAAGAGATAAGTAAGTTGATTTAATAAAGCTGTTGTTCAAAAACTATAGCTCTAAAAATCATAGAGAAATCTATAATCAGACAATTTTCCCCCTCATCGTGCTTCCTCTAAAAGGAGATATACACACCTTCACACTTCAGACACCCATACCAAGGATCACAATATGTGACAAGCTACAAAAGATGCATTTTCTCAAACAACAGTTTCACAGCAAACGCCAAAGGAGATTTATTAAAACCATTAAATAGGAATATAGTGAAGTAGCTCCCTGATTACTCCATTGATGGATGTCTCAATGGCCTTTTGCGGTATTTCTATTCATTATTTTGGAGATACATAATTCTTCATTTTTATTAGCTGTATTAGCTGGAATTTTAATAAATTGATGGGCAGAGTTACCAGCTACCTGCTACCTATAGTGGTGGGAGGTAGCAGGTATCCGGTGTAATAGTTGAGTCTGCAATTTGATTTGTTGCATACATTAAAGAGTTTAGGACTAATTATGCAGCGAGAAATTACACGAGAGTCCATATGAAACATCAGATCAACCACTCAAGCAAAAACTAGAACAAACTCAACCAGGAAAAAAACAAAAAAGGAACTTTCTACTAAAATAACTACCAACAACGAGTAATAACCTGCACTCATTTAATGTACATAGTTTAAACAAACCAACCATACGAATTTTTAAGAGAGTACAGAACTGGTAATATAAAAAAACTAAACTTTGAAATGCTGAATTCCGGAAAAAAAAAGAGAAAACGAAATTACGAGAAAGAGAATCTGATTCGAAATACCTTACAAAAAGCGAGATCGGAAGAGAGTACGGAAAAGCAAAAACTGAAAAGCTTCAGCTAAAATCTTCACAGTATCAACGGTATGCAGGACCACCTGACAATGCCACCGCCGCAGGTACCGCCGCAGGTTTCACACAGTAGTAGGTGAAAAAATATGTGTGCGAAAAATAACGTAGAAAGCTCAACTTTAAGCTACTGGTGATTTCACGGAACGGAGGTCGCCGGAAACGGAAAACTGAAATTACGGTAAGAAACTCGCCGGGGAGCGTTCATCTGTTCACGGATCACGTTGATAGAGAGAGTAGAGAGAGGAAGTGAAGTGAAAATTTTATGGATTAAAAAGGATACAAAATAAAAGTGATATACTTCATTAGTAAATACCAATAAATTGACCTGACAAGGAAAGATCCTTATGGTTTCGGATAATTGTATTTTGACCCCACTTTCTAATTAAGATTTGCCCCCACATATAACGCGGCTTGTTTGGAACCAGCCATGATTTTCTAATCATAGTATAACTGGTGCACCGGCAAAGGTTTGTTGAATATTTGTAAATTACACTTATTGTATGATCATTTTTTTTAGAAATATATATGTATTATATACATATTTAATATATATTTTGACTAGAGAATGCAAGTAATATCGACCGAGCGGTCAATTTTGTATTTTGCCATTTTTTTTATCAATCCTAGTGTTCGGACTATCTTGCTAGGTCCCACCAACATAAGTAATTGATAACTCTATTCATCAAGAAATCATTTAATATTTTTGCCACCATTAAAATTTAAACTTGAAACTATTTCAATCCATTTCATTAACCACTTAGACCACATGCCTTGAATGCACTTATAGTATGATAATATTATGAATTTAAATTTGTGACCAATTTGTTAACATCAAACATTTAGGTAAATGGATCCTTCAATTTAATGCATATGCATTGAAATAGACAATTAGGTGTATACTTGATTATGAGATAGCTACCACGTCTACTTTTAGCATTTTAGGAGCTTCAATTTAAGTCCAAGTTTGTAACGTAACACTAAAATGACTAAGGACATATTGATATATTAAGTAATTATGGATTTTATTTTATGCGTGTTCTACATGCTAATTTTGCTTTTTACATTTCTGATATCCAATATTTTAGTGTTATCCTCGCATCCACCCCTTCGCTTAATAATTGGTACATCTTTTTTCTTCCTGGTAGGTTAATTCTACGAAATTTCGGTTTACTACAAATAAAATCTGAAATGAAAGATTCATATTCAATTTAAGAGTATAAGTGAAGTTTTAATTTACATTACCAATTTTACAAAAGAAATTAGCCTAATCAATCTTTCAAAAATAAAAATTATGAAAATTTTCAAGATTTGTCCTTTTCCTTACATAATTTATTAAGGTTTTTATTATCATTTCCCTTTTGTGCTCTCTGCCGATAGAGTGTGCGTGCATACTATCTTCCAAAACTTACTTGTGAAATTACACCGGGTCGGATCTGTTTTTGTTGTCGTCGTCGCCTTTTGTGCTGATTTTTTGTTACATGTCTCATCTTCCTCTTAATTTACTTGTCTTTTGTGGGAAGAAGATGAGTAGTTGCAAAAATTAGATGGATATGTATAATTATTTGAAATCAAGAGAATCTCAAACACAAGAAAACAAAAAGATCTCCAATGCAAGTATGGTATCAACAGTTGTACTATAATTATAAAATACTAAGGCATATTTTATATGAAAAGCATATAATAAAGTATTTTTCTTATGATTAGTTCCATAATGATGTTTTTGGCTCATTCACTTCACGTAAAGTCTTGGACCTTTTTCGTGGACTTTGACAACTCGATTGCAAAATCTTACATTTACTATTTATGACAGCTTTTTCAAGCTATTCATACCAAAATAAAAGTGAAAAAGACACTTTTCTCTAAAAATCAACCAAACAAAGTGGATTTTTAGACTAATTTCCAAATGATAGTAGATTTACTTGTAGGTCCAGTTAAATCAGGACCATCTAATTGCCTATAAAATCTCAAAGAGGGATTTATGACCACATACAACAAAACCCCAATCAATTTGACACTTCCTTGCCAAGATATTATGAAACGACTAACCATAACATTATTTCTTATGCCCCAGTGTATTTAAGAGATGTTTTTACCCGGTATCCGAATCCCATATTAGGACCCGATTAATTTGGATTCATGTTGCGTAAGGCAAAGTTAAAGGGGAAATACTTCCTTTTATAATTTTTTTTTTCTTTTTTAGGTCGAACTTGAGACTCTGGTTAAGGATGAAGGGATCATATTGATAAGGAAAACGTATTTTCACTCTCCCCACCTGTATGAATTTTGCACTCTTAAATTATTTGAATAATTAATTTCAATAGATTGGACTCATCTGATTCAACGTTTGTTTGCTGGCTAACTATTTCAATAGAAAAGCAATCCGGTGCACTTAAACTTCTGCTATGTGCGGGGTCCGGGGAAGAATTGGACATAGTGTACGACAAGTATAACATAATTATAACTATTTCAATAAACAAGGTAATAAGCTAAAAAGAATTATAACAGATCAGTGATAATCCGACAAGTAAATAAGCAAGTTATAATCGTATGGGTCAAAATTAGATCAGAGAAATTCGGTACGCGGAGACATAAGGTCGAGGTCGGGCAGGCCAAGGTCAGACATTCATCAATGAGACCGAGGTCGGACCGTCTTCAATAAGGCCGAGGCCGGACCGTCATCAATAAGGCCGAGGTCGGATAGGCCGAGGTCGGACAGGCCGAGGTCGGACAAGCCAAGGTCGGACAGTCATGAAACAGCTAGTTTGCTTTGGAGTACTCAAAAGGAATATTCTACCGAATATTCCCTCTAAATTGTACCTTTTTTTAGATTTTTTATGGATACCCCCCTTATAAATAGGAGGGGAGGACTTCCCAAAAGGGGGGCTTCTCTGGATCTCCCTCTCCCTCTATCTAAGAAAATATGTAAATACACCTCTCTGGAGGATCTGTGATCCCATACCTTCATCGGAGCCAAAAAGGGTCCTAAGGTTCTTGTATTTGTCTATCATTCATCTTTATCAAATGAAAGAGGATCCGTCCCACTCAAGATTGGGTGAATCCTTTCCTTTATTTACATTTTATTGCCGTTTAATGTTACTTAATGCATCTTTCTTTATGCTATTAAATATTGCCATAATCACTGCCAACATTTACATTCGGCTATGTTTTTTCTAATTCGTATTATTCATCTCGGATCTAGAGTTAATTATCCTTAACTAGGATTTACCCCTTCATCGTTGATTGATTTGTTTAAAAAGAACTAAAAATCTTTTGAGTCAAATAATTTGGCGCCGTCTATGGGAATTTTCTAGTTAAAATGTTAGTTTCCTTTAGATCTAAAATTCAATTCCAACTATGGAACATCTTAAGGGAAGCCAAGCGAATTTGATACACACGCGAACATAGAGGCGGTGTATGAGTGCTTGTTTGTGAATGACAACCCAAATTTTACAGTACGGCTACTACTGTTTTCCTAGTCCTTAGCCATTTTTGATAATGTGAAAGGACAAGCTGGCAAACGTCAATAAAACAAAGCCTAACAACACACATTTCTATCATTTAATTAATGCTCTCCACCTCCCACCTTTTTCTCTTAAAGTGCACTCAAAAGGAATGTGTGTTGTCGGCCTCTAGGTCCGATAAATATGTTTGCTCTCCAAAGTTGTTTGAAAAGCCTTAGGAGTTCCTGAAAATGAATTAGGCAAGTTGATTATAACTTGGTCAAATGCATAAAATCTAGAACTTGCTGTTGTAAAATTGTAGTTCAATTTATTTCAATTACAAAAGCATTTCTATATGTGTTTGCTGACGTAAGAAGGAATACAACAATTGATGTCTTCCTTGCAAAGATTGGTTTGTTCCTTCTTTACAGTGGCCCAACATTACGCTTGGCAGCTAAATTACCACGGTTGAGAGGTGTGGTTCTGCACAGTGGCGTCCTTTCAGGCCTTCGTGTGCTTCGCCATGCCAACTTCACTTTTTGCTTTGACATTAACAAGCATTTTTTTAGGAATGCTAACAGAGAGAGCTTTGGCGACATTCTCTATCTACAGCTTTAGTTTGACTGAAACTAGCTCTCAAGTATGGAGCACGGCAAATCATCCTCCGATATGACTCACAACTCATTGTCGACCAAGTCACAGGGACTTTCCAAATAAAAGAACAAAGGCTACGAAAATATCAGGTAGGAATTCATAAGCTACTGCCCGAGTTTGACGAGTGTCAACTCGACCAGATACCGCGAGCACAAAACACCGAAACAGACGGCCTTGTCAAATTGGTAGAGGCCACTGAAAGCATAACCGGAGAAGAGAACGTGATCAACTCGAGGTAACGAACGCTTTCCTTTTGTTTTAACTGACTATTTCTCTAAGTGGAATAGAAGCAGGAGTAATCACCTAAGAAACGTGTCGTACTCTACAATGCAAGCAAAATTAAGCAAACTGGGACTCCCCCAAGAAATACGTCATATTCTCCAATGCAAGTAAAATTAAGCAAATTGGGACTCCCCCACGAAATACATCATATTCTCCAATGCAAGCAAAATTAAGCAAACTGGGACTCCCCCAGGAAATACGTCATATTCTCCAATGCAAGCAAAATTAAGCAAATTGGGACTCCCCCAGGGAACACCCCTTAAGGCCAAGGGCCATCGCCAAAATGAAGAGTTCGACATCGACCAAACGACGACGGGTTTAACATTTCGACAAGCTCGAAATAACACCCTTACGGCTAAGGTCGTCGCCAAAGGAAAGAGTTCGACATCGCTCGAACTACGACGGGTTAACATTTCGACAAGCTCGAAATAACACCCTTACGGCTAAGGCCGTCGCCAAAGGAAAAAGTTCGACACAGCTCGAACCACGACGGGTTAACATTTCGACAAGCTCGAAATAACACCCTTACGGCTAAGGCCGTCGCCAAAGGAAAGAGTTCCACACAGCTCGAACCACGACGGGTTAACATTTCGACAAGCTCGAAATAACACCCTTACGGCTAAGGTCGTCGCCAAAGGAAAGAGTTCGACATCGTTCGAACCACGACGGGTTAACATTTCGACAAGCTCGAAATAACACCCTTACGGCTAAGGCCGTCGCCAAAGAAAAGAGTTCGACATCGCTCGAACCACGACGGGTTAACATTTCGACAAGCTCGAAATAACACCCTTACGGCTAAGGCCGTCGCCATAGGAAATAGTTCGACATCGCTCGAACCAAATCCTAAATATTGAACTATATTTACCACAATATGTTTTCTTACATGAATAACTATATGTTGCACTTTCAAGAGATTTATCAATATCGACAACTAGAGTTCTGGTTATGGTAGAGTATGTGGAATATGATGTTAAGCATGATTTATGCAACAATAAATAGCATGTTGTCAAGTATTTGCACGTAAAAAATGATATATGCGGTATTTAAATAATTGAAAGACAGTTACAAAAGGAAAACAGGAAACAAGTCAGTTTCAGGCAATAAAGAAATCATAAATACTTGAAAAATAAGCAATTAAATCCACATAAGGGGAAAGGGAAAGGTCGTCAACAAAGAAAGCATGCTTGGAACTAATTCACAAAAACAAGTTCATTATGGTAAGAGCCTAAAATATCCCCAGCAGAGTCGCCATGCTGTCGCACCGTCCTTTTTCCTCGTGGAGTCCGGGTTTCAACATTCATTGGGAACAACTCGTTTNGAAATAACACCCTTACGGCTAAGGCCGTCGCCAAAGAAAAGAGTTCGACATCGCTCGAACCACGACGGGTTAACATTTCGACAAGTTCGATATAACACCTTTACGGCTAAGGCCGTCGCCAAAGGAAAGAGTTCGACATTGTTCAAACCACGACGGGTTAACATTTCGACAAGCTCGTAATAACACCCTTACGGCTAAGGCCGTCGCCAAAAGAAAGAGTTCTGCATCGTTCGAACCACAACGGATTAACATTTCAACAAGCTCGAAATAACATCCATACGGCCAAGGGCCATCGCCAAAAAAGAAGAGTTCGACCTCGTTCGAACCACGACGGGTTAACATTTCGACAAGCTCGAAATAACATCCTCTGCGGCCAAGGGCCATCGCCAAAAAGAAGAGTTCGACCTCGTTCGAACCACGACGGGTTAACATTTCGACCAGCTCGAAATAACACCTCTACGGCCAAGGGCCATCGCCAAAAAAGAAGAGTTCGACCTCGTTCGAACCACGACGGGTTAACATTTCGACCAGCTCGAAATAACACCCCTACGACCAAGGGCCATCGCCAAAAAGAAGAATTCGACCTCTCGAATTACAACCTTCGGCCTCGTCCGAATCAACCTTCGGCCTCGCCCGAATTCCCATTCGGCGACCTCGTCCGAATTCACAGCAGGCAACCTCATCCGAATTCACAGCAGGCGACCTCGTCCGAATTCACATTCGGTCTCCTCGCCCAAATCTACATTTGGCGACCTCGCCCAAAATCGCATTCGGTCTCCTCGCCCGAATCTACATTTGGCGACCTCGCCCAAAATCGCATTCGGTCTCCTCGCCCGAATCTACATTTGGCGACCTCGCCCAAAATCGCATTCAGTCTCCTTGCCCGAATTTACATTCGGCGACTTCGCCCGAATCCCCATTCGGCGACCTCCTCCGAATTCACATTTGGCCTCCTCGCCCTTCCAGATCCGAGGACGCGAATGACCTCCTCCGATGCCGCCATCCTTGCCAAAGCCGCCATCCTGGCCTCGACGGCCTTCTCCAAACTCTACCGTCTTCTCGATCGACTCATCACTCGAGTCATTGCCCTTGATCGAACTCTACTAAAGTTCAACCCGCATGGATACCACTTTGACCTAAAGGTCGGCACCCTCAGCCACGATTCACACTAGTCGACCTCCCCATCCGAATTTCTCGAACTACGATTAGTGAAGTCCGCTCACCGAGCTCGACTAAGAGACGACCTCGATAAGCGGAGGGACTAACTGTATGGGTCAAAATCAGATCAGAGAAATTCGGTACGCCGAGACATAAGGTCGAGGTCGGGCAGGCCAAGGTTAGACAGTCATCAATGAGACCGAGGTCGGACCGTCATCAATAAGGCCGAGGTCGGACAGGCCGAGGCCGGACCGTCATCAATAAGGCCGAGGTCGGACAAGCCGATGTTGGACAGTCATGAAACAGCTAGTTTGCTTTGGAATACTTAAAAGGAATATTCTACCGAATATTCCCTCTAAATTGTACCTTTTTTAGATTTTTTATGGATACCCCCCTTATAAATAGGAGGGGAGGACTTCCCAAAATGGGGGCTCTCTGGATCTCCCTCTCCCTCTCTCTAGGAAAATATGTAAACACACCTCTCTAGAGGATCTGTGATCTCATACCTTCATCGGATCCAAAAAGGGTCCTAAGGTTCTTGTATTTGTCTATCATTCATCTTTATCAAATGAAAGAGGATCCGTCCCACTAAAGATTGGGTGAATCCTTTCCTTTATTTACATTTTATTGCCGTTTAATGTTACTTAATGCATCTTTCTTTATGCTATTAAATATTGCCATAATCACTGCCAACATTTATATTCGGCTATGTTTTTTTTTTAATTCGTATTATTCATCTCGGATCTAGAGTTAATTATCCTTAACTAGGATTTACCCCTTCATCTTTGATTGATTTGCTTAAAAAGAACTAAAAATCTTTTGAGTCAAACAATAATTACACGATGAATATTTGCCAAATGAGTTAAATTCAATCCTTATTTAGGTCACTAGTTGACAAAGTAAAAAAAAACATGGACATAAAATGGTCATATTAAAATAAATGAGGATTGATTTCTTAGCTGCACTAAGCTGACTTTTGCCTCTCTCTCTCTCTCTCTCTCTCATTTTTTTAATATTAAATTCGTACCACCATTGTGCACGTTTTGTTGATGATTAGGGGCGTAGTATTCCCAATGCAATATAACAAAAGATTGTTAAACTTTTTTATTTGTTTTATGATCAGTATAGTGAGGTTCTAATCTTTACATTTACCTATCCATTCTGTTCTTTGTGAATTGTGGCTGAGCTTTTGCCCTATAATCAGGTTCTGATATATCGTAGAAGGAGAAGGAAGGGGATTTCTGGTGGCTTCACATCTGCATCTAGCAAATCTTGAATGGGTCAAGCAAGGAACCATTTATTTTCCTAATAATATCTTTCACATAGTTAATAGGAGAACATGAAAACCAAAATACACCGGCAAATTAGTTTCCCTACACGATCATATTTTAAGCATATTGATACGTGAAAATAGCGAGGGCTAGCCAATTTTCGGACTGATAATTAAAAAATAGCCACCGTTTGCAAGATCATTGAAAAATAACCACAGTTTTGCTGAAGCGCGGAAATTACCAGCATAATATGCTGGATTATGGAGCTCCTGCGTATAAACTTTCAGTATATCATGTTGGAACTCCAATACACGGAAAATTCCAGCACATTATGCTGGAATCTCATATATAAAAAATTCAAACTTCAGCATATTATGCTGAAATTTCTTTGGATTTTAACGGTGTTTTTGTTCAGATTTTATCTTTACATGAAAAATAGCTAAATTTCGATTACTTTTGAAATTGTGGCTATTTTATAATTAACAATTATAAATCTGGCTATTTCTGATTTTCCCCCTATTGATACATGTTATGACCTCTTCACTAATATATGTGAACAAATAATAATAGTCACTATCATCCGAGAGTGTTGCCTAGTAGTTAACAAAGTGGGTTGAAAATAATCGAATCTTAGGTTCAAATTTCAGATGAGGCATCAACGATAGGTGATTTTTTATCATTTGTCCAAGTATTGATGGACAACGTGTCCCAGTACTTGTGCTAGGTATTTTGTGAAATTAATTGACGTGCGTACAAGCTAATCCGGACAGCATCCTTATAAAAAAATTAGACCCGATGTCTATGCTTCAAATTATGACTTCTCAACCCTTCTGAAGTCGGGTGCCTACTAACTAGAGAAAACACGTGCAAGTGAAAAAATAGCGTTACTGTCTTTTCTGCTAGCTAAGTTGAACAAGTCATTAAAAATTCTGTGGAAAATTGGGGCGGAAGGAAATCTAAGTGTAACTAATAGGAACTGTCCCTTTCTCACGGATTTGCCGTGACCATATCGAATTGCAATTAACAATTCGTAATTGTAGGTATAAGCATTTTCCTATTAATCCGTATTGCTGCATGCAACTAATGACGTTAAATATTCCTAAATAAAGATGCTGTTAGCTAATGCAGCAAATATAGTACCTTACTTACATTGCATCAGGTCACCCATTAAAAAGGAATTAGAGCCTTTTGGATTTCGTTTTGGCATTTTCTAATTATGATACACTATCAGTTTGGATTTTAGAAAGTCAATTTTGGCAAGAGTTAGTCCACGTGCTTTATGAAGAACTAATTAACATAGATAATCAAACTCCAAGAGAGCTAACGGGCACAAGGATCTCGATGCTATGCTAGCATGAAGAATCTGAGAGGTGACTGTAATGACCAAATCTATTACTCACGAGTCTAAACAACAAGAAATACTCAATTATGAGAGGAATTAATCATCCAACAAATAGGCTAGCTCAAAAGTTTTGAAAAGGAAGGCAAGTATGTTCGAAAGAGTAACAGAGAGAATCTTATTTATTTATTTATTTATTTTTCTAGCGGTAGTATTCGGGTCAACTTACACGCACCTTAATTATTCCACTGGACCTACTACCTTCCACCCACATAGCTATCACGTAACTCTGCCTATCAAGACTTACGGAGATAGGAAGAAATCACCGAACAAATCTGTCACTGCTGAAATTTGAACCCTAATCTCCAAGAATTTCATCCCACTTTATTAATCACTAAGCTACACGCTTGGGTGCTACTAGGTTGAATCTCATTTGAACTGCAAGAATAATTGACTAATCCAATTTGATTCCCCCTTGTTCAAAAATTACATCTATAGCTATAACATGATATTGTATAATTGAGGAACTTATGGTTTGGTTAAGCATGGGTTTCTTTCTTCAAAGGATGAAACAGAGACAAAGACATGCCTACATATTTCAAGAAAAACCTAATTTGAACTCGCAAAGTGGCAAAGCTAAGAACGCCTTTTGATAGACTGCTAGAAGCTGAAATAAAAGTTCGAATACAAAAGGTTCATTGTTAAGAATAGGACACAAAAGGTCAGCTTGTTCTCACGCGTTAAACGAGCCAATAGGACTAAATAATTGTTTTAACTATATTTTGAGAAAGATTCTTTAGAAGCCAAGAACCAAAATGAATAAGAGCTGGAGTGTTCGACAAATTATGTCACTGGACACAAATGGGATTGGCCGACATAGTAAAAGGGGACCACAGTAAGATTCGCCAGAGTTCTCTCTCATTTTTTTTTTTTTTTTTTGTCTATATTCTCCACACAGCTGCTCATTCAGTACATTTCTTTGTATGCTTATTCTATTATTCCTTGTAGTAATTGACATTTCACTGTTGACCTCCAGTTTTTGAGAAGGAAAACGAACAAAAAGAACACTGCATGATAATACAAGAACCTTAAGTATATGTATATATACTAGTATTCCATAAGGAGTCAAGAACAAGAATTTCAAGCAAAGACAAAAAGGGTTTTGAGAACTGAAAGAGTACACTTATCGTATGAAGTGCTGCAGAATCAAATGGAAAGGCGCCTAACAATTTTAATATCCAAAAAGAGGCCATTATTAGGAAGCGCCAACCCTCCAAAATGGATAACATTACTCATACTTTTGCAACCCTTGCCTCTTCCTACCTACTATCATATGCGAATTTAGAAATTGGATTTAATCATAAAGGTTCTCTGAAGATATTGTACTTCTAAAAATTATGGGTTTAGAATTTAATATGTTTGAAAATTTAGTGATTTTTCGCATATATATTTATGTTTCATTTCAAAATACTTTCTTCGGTTGACCCCTTAGAATGTAGGTTGCATACGTGTAACATGGTGTGAAGCGTCACATTTTAGGGTAATGAAAACTAACAAGGTCTTGCAGCGATGCTGTTTAGAGGGTGCCATCAGCGAATACTAAATACCTAATGAGACGTTTGTTTACTAGTAAATGAAACTAAGGATAGTAAAATGCCAGAACTACACTATTTTTCTACTTGCAACCTCAAAAAGCAATGTACTACTATAGGCCCTGGTACATACCTTAGCCTGTTGAATGCTTCCGAAAAGGGTGATTTACACATAGTAGATCACTGTCTGTCACGCTAGTGCAAGAAACACCCAGAAATGAAAGATGTTTTCCTTGGCGGAATTCCATTCTGTTTGAAGAAAAAGGAAATCTAGTTGGTTTTGAAATCAATTTATTTACATGGCTGAATCTCAAACACAACATAACAGGGCCAAACGATGGATGATCACGGAAAAAGAACAAACCTTTAATGGAATAGGAGGCAACACTATGATTATTTAATATGAGTATAGGACCCGTCAAAACTATATGTGAATCTTTAGCTCAATGTCCATTCATCAGAATGATCAGGAGAAATTTCTTCAACAGATGTAACCCAGCTTGAATTTTCAAGTAATAGAGATCCACCCCTTGCTTTGTCACAAGATACTTCAGAGTTGCAAGGGTACCAGATATGACAGTTGAATGACTGTTCAAATGATTGAGGAGCAGTTTCTCTTGGGTTTAAATCATACAAGTTGTATTTGATCTCCTCATTTGTTAGACCAACTGTATCTTCTCTATGAGGTAGTCTTGAAGTATGATAAGTAGATAAACCCCTCTGCAACTGGGAACTGGTTGCTGACAGGAAATTCCAGCCGAATGTATCCAAGGTAATTGGCAAGAGTTCATCAGAATCACAATGATTCTTCTCAAGATGACTAAGATAAGGGACAATAACATTGCCACTTTCAAATGCATTCCCTGGATTACAATCTTCCAGAGAAGTGAGATCCTCTGAGTAGCATGACAAGGGTTGGTCACAGCGGTCGAATCTTGCAACTCCACATTCCTCATGTTCAAGAATTATTCCAAAATCAGGATTATGATCTTCCAGAGAATTAAAATCTTCTGAGTTGCATAACAAGGGTAGGTCAAACTGGTCCAATCTTGCAACTGCACATTCCTCATGTTCAAGAATCGTTCCAAAATCCCTGGAGCAAAATTTGGTAGGAAAGAGTTTCTGCTGAGAACTGTTTGAATGAAAATATGGCAGTGCATCAAAGTATGCAGAGTTTGTATATAAAGATGACAGTGCCAGCGCATCAAACTTCTTTTCTGTACTCCGCTGGTAATCAACATGCAGTAAGGTGGCTATTGGTGAACACAGTTTATTCCCTCCGCTAGTAGTAATGGCTAATGCGGGATCACTTTTCTCCTCATTGAAATCCCAATCTAAGAATAAGTTTTGTGCTTCTCTGCTTACAGGTATATCTGCACTATGAAGTCTATCCGGTAGGAAATGATCAGCAAATCCATGCCGGTCAAAGGATAATGAAGGCAATGAATCACTCTGATCCCATAAACTTATACTTTTGTTGTTTGAAATTTGACTATTATCTACATCTTCACAGAGCAAACCAGTTTTTGCGTCATAGTCGATGAGATGAAAGGCAGAATTGAAGTTATCCCATTCTAGGGGAACTCTCTCCGTTGGCCTACAAAAGAAATTAGTGAGGCAGCCATCAGTCTGGCTCATCCTATATTCTGGTACTGTAACATCTTCTTTGTGTTGTGAATGAGGTCGTGCATGATCTGGCTTAGCAAGTGCAAGTGAGGTAGTACTTGAATTTTCCCCTTTCCTGACCTTTGAATCCCAGAAATCCTGAATTTCCAAGTAACAGAAAGTCAGAAAAAAGAAAAGAAATTTGACTTATATAGTTGATGAGAAAGCTAAGAGATCATACTTCACCCTCCTTCCTTCCAGGGAACAGCCGGCTGAGAAGTGCAGAAACCAAATCAAACCTGGAACCATAAGTCAATTTGAGATGGAACTTATCAAGATATCAAAGCAACTGAAAACATTAATCTTGATGACCTTTCAGAATTGAGTTTTTCGACATCAAGAAACAGTGCATTTGCCTGCTGATGTAGTTTCTGTCTCTTTGCAGCAAAAATTCCATTACCAGAGTACTGGCTCCCTAAGAGTGATAAGCAAGATGTAAATGTTCTGAACAAATGTTTGCGTCTAAGTCTAATCACACGCCCTGTAAACTGCTAGAGCAAGCTCCATAATCAGTTGGCTGAGGTTAATGAAATCAGTTAACTAAGACAACAAAAGAACACAGACGAAACAAGATATAGATACGGTTTCCCCATTTCAAAAAACCAATGGAGCACATATTCAAACAGACAAGGTTTTCATTCTTGTTTCATCATGACTAGAAAAGGCCTCTTGGAGTGTTTCTAGTGTGGAAAACACTACGGCCATTAGACTGCTAATATAAGGAAATACTTGGTAGATTGAACTTAATCTAGCTCAAACGACTTAAGGATTATGCTGGAACTTTTATTAGACATTAGCACCAGGAGGTTTCTCCAAGCATAGAGCACCAACCCCTACCTGAACTCTTAGCAAGAAAATGAAAAAGAATTGAGGAGAAAGCCTGTAATGCTGATTCAGCAGTGTACAAATTGCGGTGCTTCTGCATCAACTATTGTACTGAGTATGACATTGATATTTACCTCTGTTTAAACACTGAAATAACTTCGTAGTAAGGAGCATTCAGATTGAAAAACAGCAAGCTTCTTTCATAGAGTGAAGGGTCCAGTAATAACATTTCCTAGAGCTTTCTTTGTGCTTCTTCTTTTCCTTGGATAAAGATAAATGCTCACTAATAAGGCAGTCATTCTAGTTCTTCCCATATCCATCTCACAAGTCGATATTTATCCATCGAAAGAGAGAGGGTGAGGGATGATAGCGTAACTATGCAGACAGACTCCTAAGTGAAGAATCAATGTTTCAGAGAGAATTGAATGGCTGATGGAAGATAACCTGAATTATTTGATGGACCTGCAAGAGGTGACAGCCGCAAATTTGAATCTACAGGAGTCACTGCAGTTGGGAGTGAAAAGGACTTAAGTTTTGCCTCCTTGGATATACCTGCATTTTGTCATACCACGTAGGTCGCTGAAATTAACAATTGACCGAACAGAGTCAAGATGCTTATATTACTTGTACACATTATACTCTGCTTCCTACCTATGACACCATCAACAGGTGAAAAGGACTGGCATTCATTAGTCTGATATTCCTTTTCTACTTGAATTGGAATTTTAAGGTCCTTATTTGGACACTTCAGCACGTTGTGTGTGCTCGTTGTGTCTGCATATTAGGCATGATTAGTTAAATCCTTCAAATAAAAGGTGGTTTCTGAATAAAATAAAGCAAGCTGAATTTTCTTAAAGCTTTTGAGGAACCAGAAAGTTTAGTAGCTAGAATCAAAGTGCAACCCACCTGAGGTACTATTCTTTGATAGTTTACTCCTTCTGTGGAGAAGATCCGAATTACTATGGCCAACATCCTTTTTCAACTTCTTGAAGAAAGCATATTCTGAAGTTTTGGGCATATCAGCTGCACTAACAGTACTATAACTTTTTAAAGAACTTAGAGGTATATATTTGAAACTGTTAACATCTTCTGAGATCATATAAAGGTTGGGACATCAGTAATAAAAAAGGTAGTTCAAAATAAAGAAAAACCTTACATCTAGGGTTGCGAGCTGTCTGATATTTTTTGGAAAATGCAACTCTTCCGACATTAGGAAGAGGATCTGCTTCCGTATCTGGGGATGTGACAATTTTTGCCTTGATTGCATCTAACAGTAAAAAATTACTACAAACTTTATATATAGTAGGAGGACAAAGGGAGAGCACAGGTCTAATAAGCACAAAATCGTTAATGCAAGAATAAATGAGATAGAGGAAAAATGGCCAACGAATCAAATCAAAAGTACAAACAATGAATGAAGACATACAATGTCTTATATAAAGATATTGAATTAATGATACATCCATGCTAAGTCCAACTCTCTCCACAGTCCAAAAGCAAAACGCATATGAAGCAGTCATCAGTAGTAGTGTTTGCTGACTGCTGATACTTGCAAACATCTGAAATGATTCGGGTTCATACCATCTTTATTGCTAGTAAAATGCCATTGACATGAAAGACATCACCATAAAAATGGCAAACAAGAGACTTCAATAATAAGGGGGAGCGCTTAAATATAACACCTGACACCTCCTTTGCTTGCATTAAGACTTCGATTATTTAAGGTTAAAGCAGAGAAATTTTATTGTAATCACCACCAAATCCATTCTATTCAATCATCATCTGGTTTGGCAGCGGAAATAAGCTATTTTGTTAGGAAGCTTTTAAATGAAATGAGCGTCAAGACACATTTGTATTGCTATAATAAGTAAGATACCGAAGCTTAAATAGAGCGACATGGACCCTAACTCGCTTGGAACTGAATCCTAGTTGTTGTTGTAGTACTAAATAGGATACCAAAACAAACAAATGATGGAAAAATAAAATGAAATCCAACAAATGGCTGAAGCTATACATATGACATACAGATACCAATATGCCATTGTTGAACAACCACTATGACCCATTAATCCAAAAGAAAAACACACAATCTTGAAGAAGGTGACAATGGGTGCTGATATGCGCGAAGGATCTCAAACCATTCATTGATAGCATCTTGATGGGTTTCGCTTAACATGTGGCTGATGATAAGAAGTCTATCAAAGGAAAAAGGTAGAATCTATGACCGCCTTCAGTCATGGTGGGACTATGATGGTTTGAGGTAGCCTTGAGTTACAACAACAAATATGTCTCAATCCCAAACAAGTAAGGTCAGCTATATGAATTCTCACTGACCACGTTACTTTATTTAAACTCATCTCATGCCAGTATTTTGCAAATACAAATAAAGTATTAGAATTTCTTTATATTTTCTAAACATATAAATCTATAAAAGGACAAACCAATCTTCGAAAGCAAGCACTTACAGTAAAAGCACTAACTTCTAATTCAGAGAAGTTACCAAATCCACAATAACTCACCTCTCGTTAGTCAATTCATTTCCTGGTAGCTACTCTTAAGGGGTGCTATTTGTACATCATGCCCCTTTACAATTTTGAATTTAAGAAAATGACCTTTTTAGATCTCTTGTGTGTAAAAGACAAATCTCTTACTTGTAAAAGTAAATCTCTCATGTGTAGAAAAAGAGCTAGGGTCATAAAACTAAAAACAAGTTTGAAGAGCCAAAAAAACAATTGACCCCTCTTAGGGACCTTTTCACATTATGCTCTAGCCCAGAAAGAACTTAATCCGTTATCATTGTTACAATTTATGGACAAAGACAAATTCAGGATTTTAGGTCAGTGAATGCAGAATACTAGAAGACTACTTCCCTTTTTTTGTTAATATATAGGTCGTAATTACTATAAATATATCACAGAAAACTTCTAAATAATATTTCTAACTTTCGAATCAAGGCAACAGGTGCAGCTTAAGCCACTGCTTTCTATATACATGCGCCGATGTTCCTGATGATATGCAGACCATTTTACAATGAATCACACCAATATTTGATAATTGGAGCAGAAAACGTAATCCAGCAGCTGAAACAAAGTGTCGAGCAACCAACAATAATATAAATTTCGAAAAGAACTGCAAATTCAAGTGACAATCAGTACTGGATCGTGCATCGTCGAGGCCCTGAGGTTGAGTGACGACTCCAGCTGAAGAGCTTAGGGTTTTTGCTGGAAATTTAATAGCGGATTTGAATCTTCGCCTCATTACGTTATGGTGACTTTCCTGATTTGGAAAACTAAGTGCAGCGATCAATGAAGCTTTTCAAATTTGAACCCTCGATTTATAAGACCGAAGAGCATCAACTTAGGCGCCAAGGCGGTTCAACTTGCGCGGTTGGGCTTGCAGATGGCCACTTTGAGGACCCCAGTTTAATGCATAGTCGATGTTCATAATATTTTTTCTGTAAATTTAGCCATTTCAAAATCTAAGCTTCCAAATTCTTTAACCATGAGTCTGAAGTTTGGTTTGAATGTCCAAAAGATTTTTGTCTCAAGTATCCAAAAGTTTTTTGTCTGAAGTTTTAGAGCCCGTTTGGATTGGCTTAAAAAAAGTGACTTTTTAGAAGAAATAGTTTTTAAGCCAAAAATTAATAAGTTGGGGTTGCCCAACTTATTGCTTTTGGCTTGTTTTAAGCAGTTTTTAACTTTGTCAAACACTGAAAAAAGCTAAAAAGAGTTTAAAAGCTGATTTGACCAGCTTAAAAAGCCAATCCAAATACCCTCTTAGTAGGCTTTTGAACATAAAAATTATAATTTAAAAAAAAAATAGTATTTGAAATTAAGTTAAAAATTGTTGTTTGTAATTTGAAATTATGTTTGGATATGCATTTCACTAGAAAAAATATTGCAGTTAGTTTTACGAGAGGGAAAAACATTTTCTGAAAAAATTCTAAAAACTTAAAAAGTTTTATGGACAAACATGATTTTGAAAAAAAAACCACAAAAAAATTTGTGAACGAACGGATCCTTTGTTTTTGCCTAAAGTTTTCTATGTAAAAGTTTCATCCAAATATCTGTAATTTTTATTTGAAATTTTATCCAAAATGTCTGAAGTTGGCTGCAACTCCGGTCTTTATTCTTCACCTTCAAATTTCGATCCAACCCCTCAAATTGGCCTCGACGGCTTCCAAGGTAAAAATTTATCGGCATCAGATATACGCACCAAGCCAATGAATATAAAACATATGTTATGTATATATACTTTTAACATTTAACTATGGTTAAGGCATTTTTACTTGAATTTGTTGATTTTTAAGATTAATTATTTAGTTAGACACAGGGCCGGTTCCAAGGTTATGCTTGTGCCTTAAGCCCCCAAAACTTGGGAGGCCCCATTTTTTGAAAGTAATAGATTTATAGGTATTTAAAAAATTAGCACTTTTAATACAAAAATAGAGTTTTCTATAATAGTTGCCACCAAGAAAATAAGTTATTCAAAATTATTGATAAAATCTTATCTAATATCAACAATGTCACACAAAAGATTAAATAGGTTGGCTATTCTATCAATTGAAAAGGAATTATTATAGAGAATCGATTAAAAAAAATTATTAACAACTTTGCATCTCAAAAAGCTAGAAAAATAGACTTCAATATATATCATAACATTCTTGTATGGGTCAGAATCTGACCTTACGGTAATTAACGGAGTTAATCTCCTCTTGAGCTAATCCATAGTTAATAAGTGGTACGGCCACTTATTTATAAGAGGACTCGACTCTTGTCCGATTGAATCTACGAGGGCACGGCCCATTCATTCCCCCACGGGGACGGAACCTCAGCGTGGCCACGACCATTTATTGCCAGCTCACGAAGCTCACATCAATACTAAGAGTGGAAGCCCTAGAAAGGGGGCTGCTTCTTCACCACTAGTGAGAGGAGAGAGAATCGAGAAAATATACCCCTCTTGTGGGAAAAGAAAACACAATTGTAAGGTTCTGAACCTCTCCATGGAGAGGCAGACCAAACAAATATTATCAATAAAGGTTTCTAATGCTTCTACCCTTATTCCTGAGTACTTATTTTCGTTTCTTTCATTGGGTCCAACGGATTATTACGATTTGCTATGATTATCCCGTGATTTATTTATATTGTTTTATACTCGTAAGTTTTGTAATAACTTTTGAGCAAACAATTTGGCGTCGTCTGTGGGGATTTCATAGCAAAATCGCGTAGTTCTTCCCTGGACCCAAAAGAAAAGAAGCGCCAAACTCGAAGGGGAGCTCGAAGATCTCAAATCAAGATCTAAGTCTTCTCCCTCTCTCCAATCTCAGATAGTGCAAACAAGAAGAAAGGGTCCCCTCCTTTCCTAAGGGAAGGTCTCTACAAGGTATACGAGCTCCGGTCAGAAACCGGCACGGAGATATCTCGAGCCGAGAGTCGCCTCAAGACAGCCTATACACCCTGGTTGGGAAGACAATGGATAAGCCGCTCAAGGCCTCGAATCCAAAACGAGTTTCAGCACTCAATACCCACAATATGGGACTCAGGCCACGAGCCTTCGTCATCAAAATCGACCAAGTTCAACTACGGTTGAACCGGGACT